GCGTCCATATCGTAGCATATCCCTGCATTCTTCCGCACGAACCCCCGACTCAACGCTATCGAAGCGCGACCGAGATCTTGAGGAGGATAAACTTGAAAGGGAATACGAACTGAAATCAAGGTAGGTTCCTTATCAGCTGTAAAACTGTTTGCTCATGCCCTGGCAAGGACCCTTGAGGAGCTGAAAAGTCACAACCATAGGCTGCGTCATAGGATGCAGCGAGTTGCATCGGATGTACGGGAGTATGAGTTGGTTTGTTCAAATGTGATGCTGGGGCTTGGCGTCCCGTATCGCAGTCTCCCTCCCGAGCTCCTTGACGCTATCACCCACGACCCCTCTTCTGTTACTGGTGGAACTCGCAAACGCCGTGGATGGACGGCAGTGGAGGATATACATGAACGGGTGCTACGGCAACGCGAGATCATCAGGATCTTTCTATCTATGATGAAGGTAGACGACCTTCCCGCACCAGAGAACGTTTTAGACAAGCCGATCTCGACACTGATGGAGAAGCTGCAAGCCCTTGAAAAAGAACGAAAACCCCTGCAGACACAAGCCGACAGCGTAACGAAAATACTGACACAGGTCAGGGCAGTCCACGCAACCGTTAAAGAGGAATACAACGAAGCCGTGTCTTACACCTCCCTCGTTTATCCAGAGGTCATTTTATGTCAGTATCTTCACATAAATAAGCTCACACACCGTGCTTGTAGCTGTCGTGCATTATCGCATTGGAAGAAAGCTACAAATATCAGTATCAGCAAGTCTGGGAATTTGGTATGGATGCGTTAACGTTCATTCTCGACACTATCACGCCGTTCTGGAGGAACTACGGCAAACCTATAGGGGAGGACATGCAGGACTTCTTAATCATACCCTGGTATCGAAACGAGTTCACTGGAGAATCTAAACGCTACCCCGTGGAATTCCTTCCTCGTCGCTCTGTCCGCCATTGGGTCGCTCTTTGTTTCCTCAGTGCCCTCACCTTATTTGTTACGTTTTTGCAAATCCGGGCTGCAATTACATCGACATGGCATTACAGGCTCCTGTGGATTGTTAACCAGGGATTCCGTTGGACAATCATGCCTTTCTTCTGGATGGCAATAGTCATCCAGTGGTTCGCTGTTATGTTCGAGGTTTGCGTTGTCCTCTTACAGGTTTCTGTCGCTGCATGGTGGTTGGGCTGGATCGTTGGGATATGTAAGTGAACGTTTCTCGCTTTATTGATTAACACGCCATGCGCATCAACATACAACACATTCTCTTGACTATACAATATATATGTTTATTGACATGTGCTTAGCATTATTCTGTAGCTCTACTTCCCTTGCTCAGAATGAGACATACCACTATTTTGCACCGATCCAGAATCTTTCTCTGGAATAGACGGCTGCGAAGTGCATTGGGGCGAGTTAATGGTGGATCCTGACGAGTTTTGCACATTCTCCTGGGCTGGCAACCTGTATGATAAGGTACCCCCGCCAAGTTGTGGGACCTCACGACCCCGGCCTGCTTCAACGCAAGGTCGACAGTACCCTGTACGCACAACCGATGTCAGCAACTACGAGGCAGTAAGATGGTCCACTGACTTCCTCCCATGATCAGTGGTACCTCCGTTTGACCGCACGCGAAACAAGCTATCTTCGGAGGAGCGACTTGGCTTTTAGGTTGCGCCTGCCTCTTACGCTTTGTGGTCTGTGAGCCTGGGGGATCCCCGTCTTGTGCAAGTTTGCGTGAAGTGAGCCTTCGCTTGGGTTTTCCATTCTCCGTTGTGGGCTTAATGGACTTCATGGAGAACGACGGTACCGCAGCCTAAGGGACGAGATAAGAAATGGGCCAAAGCGCCACATCTGCACACGCACGTTTTGAATCTGGGTGAGTTGAGAGCCTTCGGGTAACCTGTAAGCCAAGTATTTCCGTTCAAGAGGTTCCTGTGACAACAGTAAAAATAAGAAAGGGGCTAAATATGGACACTGAATCGCCTACAATTTCACTTAAAATGCCGCGATTTTGTTCCATCCTCTCCTTGGGTCCTGTCCAACGCGAGAAGGAGTCCCAGATGAACAAGCTGGCCATCTTAAATTGGAAGACGACCACCTGCTTGGGGGTTATGTCCATTGTTGGAGAAGTTTCCGGTCCGGATGAGGGAGTAACAATGGCGAACGGGACAATGGTGGAGAGTGTAATATCTCCGATTGACGCAGTGTTTCCCGATGCTGGGGTGAATTCGCACGTTGCAGGGCCGCGAGGGAATATCCAACGCTCCGAAAGGGCTTCTCGAAACTCCAGCACGATGTCGAAATCTTTGACAGGCGTCTGATATTGGTAGTGTGATGCCACTGTTGGGACAGTCGGGACGAGAGTGCTCTTCGAATCAGTGGTCGCAATACTCGTTTGTGAAGGGGCAGGGAGAATGTCCATCGCTGGGGAGCTTGCGAGGGATTGGATGAGCAAGCCAAGAGTCTTGAGTTGGTCTGGCAATGCTCTCCCGGATGCGGCCAATTGCAGTAGATTTGCGAGAGTTGGATTTGATGTCGCTGCGGCATTGACCTGAGAGATAAGAGCCAGAGGGACAGACATCGTGGACGCTAAAGATGACAACAACGGATTGGACGATTCCGCGGTGGATACGGATGAAGTCGTCGGTTGACTACCTGTCTGGTGTCCAGCGGGCGTCGACTGATGCACAAAAGTAGTTGATGAAGCAACTGCTACAGGAACTGGGTGATAATGGACTTCAAACACCGTTGTGTCGATGAAGGCGTGGGGACCAATCTGGAGAGTGCATCTCCCTCGGTTGTGGATCGTATGTGGGGGAGGCACGACATCCGGCTGCTTTCCTCCTCTTCCTCGACTTGAAAATTTTGGAAACATTGTGCGAAGCCATTTCTCCCTTGCTGTGATGACATTTGTGTGAGCGACTGACATTATCTAGTAACTGGCTGATCTAACATTGTTTCAGGGACTGTAGAATTACAAAACTGCGTAGCCGTCAGAACACTGGCAGAATATGATACGGCTGTTTCTAACCTTTCTGCTGCGGTTTTCAGCTCTGTGGCTTCATGCTCGCTGCTATTGATCTCCCCGTCTGGCGTATCTTCAACTGGTAATCTCAACTTGGAGACTGTTGAATTGCGAATCATGAGGTGTTTGTTTGGCTTTGTTGTGCAAGAGCCTCTAGCAAACCTAGTCGATAACGTAAGATTGAGTATCCTGAGCTTATTCCAAGTGATCCTCGCTGACCGCAGAGTTTTAGTGAATGCAATTGCTGTCATATCTCGTGCAGCAGAGTACCATCGGATATTAATCACACTTGTCCCACAAGGAAACATCAAATGAGCACACGCGTCCGTAAGTTCAAGCCTTTCACTTGCCTCAGCACACTGTTTAACGCGACGTGTAGATAAAGGCGGAACTGTCTTCCGGCCAGTCACGAAAGCGAGACCTCGCATGGCTGAGAGCGCTTCGAGACAGCCGTCAGTATCTTTGGATAGCCACGCTCCCTCTCCCACTTTTTCGCATGCACAGCAAAGCCCTCTCTTTCCCCCTCCCCGAGAGGCTTCTGTCCTGGTTATGCCCCCACCGTCTGCGGTTCCTGTCAGACCTGCGTTTCAGAAAATCCCAGATTGCGCGGCCCCTCCATTTACTCAGATTCCCCATTTGAACATCCCTATTGTCGTATCTTCTTCTACAGCTCCTCCACCGATACAGGCAGCAGAACCCCAAGTTCCACTCATAGTGGAGGAAGTTGCTACAATTGTAGGCCCTTCTCAACCGTCTGTCATAGAGGATCCGCATGAACGCTCGCGTAAGAGAAGAGAACTGTCCCACTCGTTAACTACTACCACTTCAAAAAAGCTCAGAAAACCTCGACGACCTGCAACTCCAGCTTTTGATATAGATGCAGACCCCGGAGAGATTCTAGATCCTACGTCTATCACGATGGCAACATTATGCGAAGATACGGGTCAGGGCCGCGTGAGCAGCAAAGCTGCTCAGATTCTCGGAAATCACCTTGCGTGGAAGAAATCCAACAAGGAGAAGAGGGCCAGAATGAGGACGCTGATGGAAGCAAGAAAGTATGGTAGAAATGAGGATGGCGAGACGACGCAGGCACCAAGGCACCTAGAATCTGCTTCCGACCAGACCTCAGCCGCGAACGCGACCCCTGAATCATCTACTCAATCAACTTCTGGCGCTCTCCCGACCATCGAAGACACTTCTGGCCACGGCTTTGACTACTCACAGGATGTTGCCACCAGCCATTATAATGTCCAGGTCCGGATTGGTCCCAACGGAGAAACCATCGTTGATGATGAATCTTTATTTGTGGACCGCAATGCTGAAGAAGATACTGCGGAGTACACCCACGTCGAAGAGTCGGACGTGACCAAGTTCGTCAACTCTGCCACGTACGCAAAGCGCTTCAGAGGATCGCGCTGGAGCGCTGAGGAGACTGAATTATTTTATGATGTGAGCGCTCTCACAATGGCCACCTCTACCGAATTTGACACTTTTTAGGCGCTATCTCAGTTCGGAGAAAATTACGAGCTCATATCCTACGTGCTACCTGGTCGGGATCGCAAAGCTTGTAAAAATAAGTTCAAGGCTGAAGACAAGAGAAATTCCAGGCGAATTGACTTCTGCCTGAATAATCGCAGGCCGTATGGTTCGTGTCCCTTTTGAAATCTGCTGGAGTTATCCTATTCACCCTTGATCGCAGACATTCAAACCCTTTCTCGCATGACTGGGAAGGACTTCAGTGGTCCAACCCCTGAGATACAAGCACCAGCAGTCTTGTCACTGGCCGAACCCCAGGATAGCACAGGAGGAGGTCAACCTTGTACTACAGGCACAGGCCACACAAAGGAAGCGTTGTCCGCCGTTTTAGAGTGTAGCGAAGAGATACTTGGGGATATAACTAGTTTCGATCCATAACGAATTGTCAATGGATGCGATAAGCGCTGCCCACATAAGTTTATGAGAGAATAACTCCATAAGCCGGGATAGCTCAGCTGGGAGAGCAACAGACTGAAGATGATATGGTTTCTGGAGGTCCCGTGTTCAATCCACGGTCCTGGCATTTGTTTTGGTTTTGATTTTTACTGGCAAGTTGAGAACTAAATGTAGTATGCCCTCGCGTTAGTCCGCAATCTGGCCAGTCCCAAAACTCGTAGGCTCGTAGCTTTATGTCTAGAAAGAGTCCCACTTACCGCATGGCCATGACCGAAAGCGACAGTGTAATAGGTCGAATGCGCTGCGTGCTCATCGTGCGTGGTTCTCGTGATACATCGGATTTTGAGGCTCCCAACGGTATGCATTATGAGAAAGTCAAGTTACTGTATAAAGCTGTGGAACTCTCGAGCCCAGTCTTAACTGCTTTCACGTGACTGACATCATCCTTATTTAATACCATCACTGCGTTCGCACTTCGCCAGCTTGAACTCCTCCCCCACGACTGTAACATAAAGTAACAGAGGCGCCCACTACTGCACCCACACGAGAAATGGCACCACGTCGTCCTGCTGCCCCCGAGGATAGCATGCCCCCGCCCAGTCGACCCTCCAGTCCCCCCGTAATGGATGAGATCGAGGAAGTAAGTACCATAATCACAGCCGCGTCATTTATAATAAACAAAATCTCTAGGCCCCCTTCTTTGACAGCGTAGATGAGCTTCAGCAGCATGTGCGATCACTTATCGATACTTGAAACATCTATTCATTCCAACCCCTCGCAGGGTATCAACGTTCAAGATATCCTCAAACTCAAGGTATATTCACATTTCAAGGACCCACATCGCATTGACCGGCTGTCCAGAGCGCTGCAATTCACACCGTGTCTGGGGTTGTTATGACGACGCGTCGAAATATGCTCAAAATCAAGGCCGGTACAATTCTAAGTCCTCACATGGCCAGGTCTCATCAATACTGCAGGGCATGTCTGAAGCGAAAGTCGAAAAGATCAAGGTAATAGCATATATGCGCTTTAGTACACCCAATTTTATCACAACTCCTCTCCGTTTAGGAAGCAGCGCAGAAAATTGTGGTGAGCGCATACTTCGAAAGAAAGATACCCGGCTCACGGCATGGCAGGGCTCTTCTTTTGGTACTGGAATCGAGGTTCAAGATCGCCGAAAGCGGGTGCTTGTGATAAGCACAGGTAGCAAATCTGTAGATGCCATTCTTGGAGGTAAGGCTGGAGCCACTTCCCATTTTCCCACAGTTGTTCCAATTCTTTCGATTAGGTGGCATCATGTCCCAGTCTATATCAGAAGGTTAGGTGTCTTTCATGCCACATTGTGGATTCCATCGCGTCTTACTCGCGGGTAGTTTATGGTGAGTTTCGTACGGGGAAGACGCAGATGGCGCACACGATGTCTGTGGTAGCCCAGCTCCCGGTCGAACTAGGAGGGGCTGCAGGGAAGGTTTGTTTTCTCGATTCCAATGTTCGCCTGCGGCTAAATCATAACAGGTTGCATATATCGACACCGAAGGCACCTAATCGTTGTCAATCATACAGCGTAAATATGCTGACATACATCCAAGGCACCTTTCGGCCAGACCGCATCCGATCAATCGCGGATCGCTTTGGTGTCGATGGAAGCATGGCACTGGAAAACATTCTTTATGGTGCGCTCAATAGTCGTATATAGAACTTCTTCTCAGAGTTCTCCGAAGCTCGAGCATTCAACAGCGAACATCAGGTCCTCATTCCGTTTTGCGAGTTTCACTGATGCTTACATTGAAGATGGACATGAAGATGGATCTGATAAACGAGTGTTCCCTTCGCTTCGCAGAGGATAAGGACTTCCGGCTTTTAGTACGCGGAATACTATGTGCGGGCTGTCAACCTCTGATCGCCAGCAGATCGTCGACTCCATCATGGCTTTGTTTAGGGTCGACTACTCTGGGAGAGGGGAGTTAAGCGAAAGGCAACAGAAAGTATGCATATACTCGAACAATCCTCGATGGAACTTACCTATTTTCGTTGCAGCTAGCCCAGGTCAGGAATCATTAAGGAGCCACCATATGCTGACATGAAAACATATCATCCCTGCGTTTTTGTTTTGTTTTTCTAATGCAGATGCTATCTAAACTAACGAAGCTCGCCGAAGAATACAACGTTTGCATATTTCAGCCCGATTCTCTTCCTCTTGACCTGTCTCTTGAACAGATTGCGGTGCTGATCACGAACCAAGTCCAATGTATCTTATATTATCTATCCCTATACGACTTTGCTTGATGTCAATTTCTAGCCGACCCGGGAGCAACAATGACCTTTGTAGCTGGCGGCGCTCTCAAACCTATTGGTGGTCATATTCTGTCGCACTCCTCGTCGACTCGGATGTTCCTGCGCAAAGGTATGTAGTCTGCGAAGAACCTACATAGAAGTGCGAGTTCCTTCAGATGTTCGAACTCACCAATTTTACTCTTTGGACAGGTCGCGCGGAAGAGCGCGTAGCCAAGCTGGTAGATAGTCCCGATCGTCCTGAGAGCGAGGCCTCGTACAAGCTGGATGAAGGCGGGTGGACCGATGTTTGAAATTCCGTTGGTGGCCTTCCGTCCTCTTCTGAGGATTTTCGACCCTTGTCGTTCGTCAATCTCGACCGATTCTTTGCGATGTCTGCTTGAAGACGCCCTGCTTGCACTTTTCCTCATGCTCTCATGTCCGTGCATATGCACACTTCAACTTGCATTGATCCTCTTTCTATCGAACGTTCCTTGTCGTTCTTGCTCGATAAATACAACCAACGTGGTTGAATAATTGAACATTGACTGCTTGATGAGTGTCCCATGTAGGCAAAACACAGGTGATGAGAGGTTTGGTTGAAAATATCAATACCACTCATCCTTCGGGGCACCCGTTTGTGAATTGACACCTGTGCACCCCCAGCATCACATATCACATCTATAAAGGACCAGGTATGAAGTCTGCGTGAGGTGCAACTGTCATGGTCGACATCCGGATACATAGTATGGTCGATTGCCAAGCCCTAACTTCTACTTCAAGTTGTTCAATGTCGATTGATTGCACCAAAGAAAATTTCCAGGACGGAAAACATTCCCTCCACTACCCATTTGTCCGGAGGGCATGTGGTGCAGAAGTTGACAGGCACGTTTGTTTTGATCCTGAGTAGATGGGCGCGTTTATACAAACCCTACCACGATGACCACCGCCGTCCCTCTTGGTCCCCCTTGGACGTAGTCGCAGTCGTACGTGCCCTACTCTATGTGACAGTGGTTCAGGCCACCTTACCCTCCCACCTCTCTACCCCAACACCGAAGTGTGTCTTGGACTCCTGGGAGAACACCACAGATGGACAACTGCTCCCAAAGGGGAGTTGGCGTATCCACGGTCTCTGGCTGGACAATGTGATAGGTAAGTGCCATTAGATATGCAGAGCCTCCGTTATGCATCGAGCCTTTCAACTTACGCTGGGTATAAGACCAATATTGCGATCTGACAAGGTTCCTACGGAACCGTCATTCCTCCATACGGGGGGGCACAAGGGTCCTAGCGTGAGGATAAATGATTTATCGAAGAGTCTGGCCGATTCGACCTCTTGAAATATAGTGAGTGGATGATCAACTCAGCGTTTGTAACAGTTGCTGCGCAGTGGACACGTTCCGGATCAACCAGGGAGCACCAAATGACGAGTTCTGAGGACACGAAACGTGTCGGTGCTGATAACCAGTTTAGCCAACCATGGCTATCATAGTTCTCGAAGCATGCGACTTGGACCTCGACGTTCGACGTTGCTTGTTATGAGCCTTCCTGCAAGGAACACCAAGTCGCGAACCTCTACGAGACGGTGACCAAGATGTTCCAGGTGTACCCCACCTACAATATGGTAGCTGCGCATGTGACTCGCTCCCAAGTGCTTTGGCTATGCTGATCACCTTTCAGAGGTAACATCACACGCTAGCCCAGATCACTAATGTTCTGTACTCACAAACCGGTGCGGTTCCTTACCTTGGATGTAGTGGTAATGGCGCTGCCCTGGATGAGGTTTGGCATTTCCATCATGTTTTGGGCACGGTGAGTGGTGGCTTCCATGTTTATGATAGAGCTGACCCACGACGTGCTTGATGATACACCATCCAGTTGGTATTATGAGCGTACATCTGGATCAGAGCGCTTGGTCAGCTATTAATCGCGCATAAATACTTCCTCTGTTTTGAGAAGAAAACAAATATTGTTCTGCGGCGTTCTCAGTTCCTGGATTAATGAAAAGCGCGACAAGTCATGTGACTGACGCGACGCGACGCGCGACGGGCAAATAGACGAAAACAACTTGATTTAGTTAATATTAACCCTGACGAGTCTGAGCCAAACGTCATGATTATTCTCCGTTGTGCATTCGTCCACTTTTTCATTCCTCCCACCACCACACACACTGGACATGACCATTTCGTTGGAGCTTGATGCACCTGTGGCAGAATCAAGCACTCGGAGAGCCCTCACAAATATATCACTAGCAGTAGCCAAGTGCAAGAAAATTGTTGTTGTCACTGGAGCCGGCATCTCGTGTTCGTGTGGGATACCAGTAGGTTATCATCTGGTACAATAATCAGCTCAATTAATCAGCGTTTCAATAGGATTTCCGTTCATCAGATGGATTGTACGCGCTCGTCAAACAGCAGTACCCCGATGTGGTGATGAAAGGTCGGGACCTCTTCGACGCGTCGCTCTTTCGCGACAAGACCTCAACGTCTGTGTTCTACACGTTCGTCTCGCAACTTAAGCGCTGCATCGACTCTGCTACACCCGCACCCACACATCATTTCATTAAGACCCTTGACACGAAACAGAAGTTACTTCGTTCGTACACACAGAACATTGATGGCCTCGAGGAAAGGGTCGGACTCTGCGGTAGCTCGTGCCAAGAAGCAAAGGCTGGTAGCAAGGGCAAGTCGAAGCTCAAGGCCAAGGAGGTGCGGAATGTCCAACTCCATGGGGACATTCACCGCGTCCGTTGTACACTCTGCTCTACGAACTTCCCATGCACAGAGGATTATCTACGCATGTTCAACAGTGGGGTGGCTCCTGATTGTCCAGAGTGCCAGTTGCGTTGTGAGTGCC